TGAATAAGTTTTTTAGAAACCTCTCCCACTGCAAACCTGCTCCCCTCCAATATTCCCCATTCAGTGAATGGCATTCTCCAGCCACCTCCGACTGACTCCCTTCTCCCTCAACACCAATATCTAAACCATCAGCAAGTTCTGTTGATGTCCCCTCCAGATCTGTCTGCTTTCACCAACCCTGCTGCCATCAGCTTCACACAAGCCAAACCCTCACAATGATTCCCCACAATGGTGGGCTAAACACCAAGACCTCACCAGAGCCCCCCCAGGCCACTCTCCCTGCGCCCTAAAGACCTGCCACTGTAGCTGGCTTCCTGCTTCTCTCACAGCCAAGTTTTGTTCTGTGTGTTTTTTTTCCTCCTGAGGCCTTTGTCCATGTATTTTCCTTCTGCCAGGAACGTTCTGCCACTTTCCACGTCTTCTCTCAGACCTTCGCCTGGCCAACTCCATGGAAGCCTTCAAATGTCATTTTAAATGCCATTTCCCCAGAGGGCCTTCCCAGCCTGTACACCTCACCAATTTCTCGGTCTGAGTCCCTTCTCCCTGGCCAGACCCGCTCGCACCCGGGACTCCTCAGGGCCCCTGGAACAATGACTCCCACCTGGCAGGTAGGGGTTACTAGGGTCTTGCTGGGCCTCCGGCTCGCAGCAGGGCTTCCTGGCACACCCCCTGCCACCAGCATCCGGCAGAAGAGCAGCCCCTCAACACGCCCGCATGTACTGGATAGCGAAGAGGATGCTCTCGGGGTCGCTTTTTGTTGTTAACTAGGAGTAAGCCTCCCCACGCCCTGAACTCCACAGAAACCAACAGCAGAAGGCCCGCCATGCCCCCCGAGCGGACTTGAAAATGCTCCACGCATCGTCTGAAGTTCTGACCATCACGCCATATCCCATGGAGAGTTTTCCGCTGGCTTTCAGCGTTTATGCAAGAACAACAACAACAAGAAGTTCACGGCACAGTCTGGAGGGCTTTGCTCCTTGGGGTTCAGACGGCTTTCTCACCCCACACCCGGTGCTCATCACCCCGCAAGACACCCGAGACCGAGAGCCGCTGAGAAAGGTACCCTAAGGTGGACTCCACCTCCGCTTCAAAAGGAAGCCCCCAGGACAACGTGGTGGGAACTTCTGAAGCCTCTCGCCGTTTTGTAAGATACACGCTGTACCAAAACACCACCATTTGGGGTACAGGATCTTTTTCTGTCGGGTACAAAGGAAGTGAAATGAAAGCCTTGGTACAAAGACACGGGGGTGGCGTCCAGGGAGCAGCCTGGAACCCCTGTTTACCGGCCCTGGAGGCAGCCCGGCCAAGACTCGGGCTCAACCGCTTACACAAACCAGCTGCCTGGCACTCCTTGTCGACAAAACAATTTTAAATATAAATTGAAAAACACCACAGGGAAGGAAACATGAGCTACTTCTGTGAATGAGAAAATAGGACAGGAGGCTTGGGGGGAGCGGGGGGAACCTGGTCCTTATGGATGGTGTCTTGGAGATGGGTGGGGGGGGATGGAGAAGAGAGAGATGGGTTTGTGTGTAAATTCCTATTTTTGGGCTAGTCCGTGTCCGTCCGTCCATCCCCCCCACCCCCGCCTCCAAATTCAAAACATCATCCTTGAAGGATAAATTATAACAAATAAGATGGTATAGCCATTACAGGAACTAAAGTTCGTAGGGCTTGCTTCTAAATTTAAATACTATTTAATCAATTGAACTCCACTTGTTGAGAATGTTTATTCTATACATCAATATTTTGTAATGTGGTAATCCACATACCACATGGAAAAAAAAAATCCAGTCCGACTAAAATATTCAGACAAAATGTTTTTGGCTCCCATGTGAGAAGTCTGCCCCAAATATGGACCGGGGAAAGGTTACTTTCCTAGCAGACTGCGACAGTGACAGTCTCCAGTGATTACTAACAAGCACTGAACACTTCTCTACTTTCAAAAGAAAACATTAGAAATCATTATGAAACTGGTTGGCCCAGAAATCACAATAACTTCCAATTTCACAGAAATTAGAAAGCAATCCTTGGACAACTATTTTGAAACACGTCTTATGAAACGCTGTGATGTGACAACATTTCCTTTAAAAAAATGAAAAATAAAATGTGAGGAAGAGCCCAGTGTCTGGGTGAAAACTCGCCATTCATCAGTGCATCTCCACATGGACCACAGTCTCTGGCCAGCGTTGAACCAAATGACACATCATCAGCCATAAGGCAGAGGGACTCCTTTATCCACACAGGCATCCTGTAACCTGCCAGGCCAGTTCCGGTTGGCACATCACTCTATGTCCAATGAAAATGCAATGAGAAATGTAGTCCCCAAGGTGTATGACTCCTCAGTCCCCAAAACTGTATGTGGTCAACAATCTCCAGCCTTGTTCCACCTACTTTCCATCTCCCTCTACTAATACCCCCTGCCCCCAGCCCATCCCCAGCGCCCAACACCCCTCCTCCTATATCCCCTTGGTGTCAGGTGAAGACTGCAGAAATGCACAATTACAGGGCTGACTCATATAACCAAAGACACCAGTCAGCTGCCACAAGCATTAAGTATTTCACAAATTTGGTTTCCTATTGTCCAAGCTAATGGCTTTTCTCCTCTCTCCAGCTCCCAGAGCCCACCACCCACCCAAACCCCCCACACCAGGGCCCTTCCCCAGGGCAGGTCCCCAGGAATGGAGCAGAAAGCACAACAGTTACTGTTACAGCTGCCACCTGGGGCCCCTTTGGACAAGGGTTTCCATCTCAAGGGTGGTGTTCTCCCAAGTGGTTGCCATGGTAAACATGCCTTCGACTAAACAGCAGAGGGAAAAACCAAATCCCTATCTCCTCTGGCTGCATTCCTCACCAAATCCACAGGGGCTCCCAGAAAAAAATATGGTTTAACCACTGCTCGGGGCAATTCATTCTGCAAATGAAAATATAAGGTGCTCAAGGCCGACTGGTGGCATCTGTTCTTATGGGGTTTAGGAGGCAAGTGTTAGAGAGGAGGACAGTCAACCTACCCCTCTCCCAATGTCCAAAACCCCACTCCTGCTCACCAGCGTGGCCCGTGGACCTCCCGGACATACCTATGAGGTGCGGTGTCCACTCTGAACCACTTCTAAGAATTACAGCTTCTCTCCACATTCAAAGAGAGAAGAGTCCTCCAAGGGATTTTAAAGATAATATCCTATCTCTCTGTACATAAAAAAAAAATGTGGGCGAGTCCCGCACCAAGCATTTCCAAAAGCAGAGAAATAAATGACAAAGCCTAGACCCACGCTGGGAAATTCGGGGTGGCAGGAAACGTGGAATGGGTGGGCTTCCTCATATCCCCTCGAGGACTCGGATAATCACACTTCTGTAAAATCTTGGGGTGTCGTTACCACACGGTTTGACAGGGCACCCCATTTCCTAGGAGAAAGTTGCGTCGGAACCCTGAGCCAACCACTTCTTTACACCGATGACACCGTCCCTGATGATGACCCGATGGAGAGGGAGCAAAACAGAACCAGCCATGGGAAGTGAGCGTCTCTCCCTTAGGGGAGGACGTTCCACAAGGCCCCGGGAAGGGAGCACAGAGCGGGTCCAGCCCTCGTTTTGGCCACTAGCACAGCGTGTGACATTGGGCAAGTCACTTAAGGCATCTCTGGGCCTGTTTCCTTTTCTGAGAGCAGGTTGGGCCTACCTGAGCGCTAAGGTCACTTCCAGCCCTGAAATCTTGGCATCATAAGAGCATGTGTAATTAGGAGCATCCATTTTATTGTGGGGTTAGAGGAAGGAGGAAGTTTCTGGAGAATGTCAATCTTTTCTACGTGCCTTAGTGATAACAAAAATTCCTAAGACATTTTCACAAACAATGACCCAAGATGTGGCTTTATGGAAATAAATTATTTTCTGATAGATATACACATACATCCACATATATATTTGATATTCCTATAACAGAGGCAAATTCGTTAAATAATATATTCTCAATTACAGCAAGCTACAAAATAAGGAGGCAGTTGACCTGAATTTTGACACAATGCATCCGAGATCTTTCTACTTAAGAAAATCATTTTGCCATTTTTAGAAATTTCAAGTAACACGGAGGCAAAATATATTAATGGGTAACATTTTGTGATACTTAAATAAAAAATAAATAAATTGTTCCGTGCTTTGCATAATTCTACCTGTCATAAAATTGTTATAAAAGTGTCTCCCATTCATTATTTCGAAAGTATAAAGTCCAGCTCATGACATAAATCTAAAAGAGAGAATATCCTAATATGGCTGAGCTATCTTCTCAAGAGGTTAATTTATAAATTCCACTTTCCGAGCCTACAAAAATATATGTAGTGCATTAAAAATATATGCATTAGAAAGTGCATTAAAAATATATGTAGACACACACGGTATGGTGTAGTCTCTTAGTACTACAAACAAATGGCTCCTGTATTAATTAAACCCTGTGCTTTCAAAGCCATGGATGTACAGATTAAATTTAATTTAAGCCTTTCTAAGTTCATTTCTTGGATCAATCCATCATCCCAGAAGACATTTTTCTGATGTTAGTGGAGAGTGTTTCTTTCCAACAATTAAGATAAATTGGGGGTAGGGGGCTGGAAAAAGTCTAATTTCTAATTCCCTCCTCTGCCACTCACCTCCCCTAAACGACTTTTTCAGGAAAGATTTGGAGTACGTACTATAGTCTTTAAAACTGCCTTGATACCATCTCCAATCTGCCCTACACCACGATGATTGTGCCTACTAACTGGAGCCCACGAAGCTCGACTCTACCCCATGCTAGGAGAAAGGACAGGTGGGAAATTTTCCAGGAAGGTAATAATCGCTAAGGTCCAATAGAAGAAAACAGGTACCTTCTAGACATACACCATATCCAAGGATATGCCACACAAAATATGTTTAAAGAAAGAAAGACTGACAAACAAGGCCTGCTATCAACCAAAGAGCATGTTCTTCATCTTCCCCCCAATAAAGGAAGCGACTGCCTCTGTCAGGTCACTCACAACAATGTGCGCCGGCGACGGAGAGCGTGCGTCCTTGAGGGCTTGTCTGCTCTGGAGGGTGCCTGCCTGGACATCGAGCAGCGGCCATTTCATCTGCAGATACTGGGGAGCAAACAAAACGAACATGGAAAGTGATTATAGCAAGGTAGTCAACCGAACACCTTGTGTGCCTATATGCATAACCCATGGATGCAGACAGTAAATAAATAAATAAATAAATGGGGGGAAAGAAAATAAACATAGCAGAGAAATGCAAAACAGCTGCCCTGAGAGAGAACTCCTGGGGTTCATGACACATGGATCAGAAACTGAAAAACTTAAGAGCGTGTGAATAACATCAACGACAGAAAAACCATCCAACACCCACAAGTTCTTCCTTAGAGTTCATGTTCAATAGGTACATGTATACAACATCAATATTATTACCCATCAAGCTATAGGTAGCTTCAGACAAAATGACCTCATCAACACTACACCTCACTTAGAAGGAGCGGTGGGGAGGGTGGGACGGAGGGCGGGAAGAGACACAGAGATCTCCCGGAGGAAGAAAGCAAGTGGAGTCTCCAGCCAGTGTCCCAAGAGACCATCAACTCTGAATGTTCTCTTTCAGCAACAGATTTCTAAAACGCCCCCCTCCTTCACGTGGAAGAAGCTGAGGATACGTGTGGAACTGTCCCTTGCTGGAAGTTACTCAAGGAAGGTGAGGAGGGAATTCCTCCTACAGAACAAAAATGTAGGGTGTTCCCCCAAAAATGGATACACACTAACAGCTGATAACTCACTTAATTTGGAAAATGAACTGTATGTTAATAAACACTGACTTCATAATCACTCAAACTGTGTATACATTTGGGGGTGACAGCCTGTATTTTTTGGTAAAACATGCACAAACACGGCACAATACAACTTATACCTTCAACTCAAAAGGCTGGAGGAATTCTTAAATGCATACAGGTTTACCATGGAGAGCAAGATAAAGACAGAAGCCAATATGTCTATCTCCACCCTTGTCTGAGGTAGAAAGTGAATACACAGCGCAAGGGAGGGGGGCCACTTCTATCAAAAGTGGCATGGCCAGCTTTCAGGGGGACGTACACCATCAACCGATGCAACTCCCCATTGGGCAGATAGGGAAACTGAGGTAAGGTGGCCTGTCTGGTCACTGAGACTTTTAGCACAAGCACGTCCGGGCATTTGACTTTTGTTGGTGACATTATTGGCAGTTTCACGCAGGAAAACTTCAGGCCACCAAACAGAACTTAGACACTGCTCCGATTTTAATAAGGACACCGATACCGGCCTTCGTACCTCCAAAGGCCAATTGATTAAGGCAGGGGTTAGTTGGAGGATATATAAGGAGCCATCTTGATCTTTTCAGAAACCTCTAGCAAAAAGAAAAAAGGCTAGTTTTAATACTAATCCTACAGGAAATGGAACTCAGTGAACACCAATTATAGCCTGCGTGGTGCATCACAGAGACAAACATGCCGCCCTCAGGGGGCTTATGCAGGAGGGAGCCAACTCCTCCACAAGCCAAGAGAGAACGGGGGACGCGGTGGCCGAGACCCGGGAAATCATGCCCGGGGAAATGCCAAGAAGAAGGTGGCATTTCTGAGAAAGAGAACGGGGCCAGCCGCACCGAAAACATTTCAACAGAAAGAACAGCAAAGGGCAGTCCAGAAAGAAGGAAGGGTTCGCTCAAACCCCGTGTGACAGAAGAGGGCCAAAGCCACCCACGCGCTTCTCCAAGGGTTCCTCAAAGACACAACCGTCTGGAGAATGAAAACTCAACTCGGTTCCACCTAAAGCTGGAGATACTAACCCATGAGTCACCTGCCCAAGGACACAGCCATTCTCCCAAGCCGAGGATGGAGAGATCCTTCTTCAGAGTGTTTACCTAGCAGCATCCTGTGCGCGGGAAGCTCGGTTGCTGGTGCTGGTCACTTGCCCCAAGACCTTGCATCACATGCCTTTGCTCCAAGGACCTCCAGGTTTTAGCTATGGCCTAGAGCAGTGATGGCGAACCTTTTGAGCTCGGCGTGTCAGCATTTTGAAAAACCCTAACTTAACTCTGGTGCCATGTCACAGATAAAAATTTTTTGATATCTGCAACCACAGTAAAACAAAGACTTATATTTTTGATATTTATTTTATATATTTAAATGCCATTTAACAAAGAAAAATCAACCAAAAAAACTGAGTTCGCGTGTCACCTCTGACACGCGTGTCATAGGTTCGCCATCACTGGACTAGAGGGCTGGTCCTCTCTGTGGTGGGGCAGGTGAAAGACTTCTAGGAGCCTGGGCCTCCAGACAGGAAATACCAGCAGGCACCCTCCATCCCCCACCTCAGTCACCCTTATAATCAAACCGTTTCCAATACCTCCTTTGGGAGCAGTACCATCCCAAGTTCAAGTTGAGAACCACTGAAATGTTTCCATGGTCTCCCTCTGCCCTATAGCCCAAGCTAGAGGGCTGTGGGCAGCGCTTCTGCCTGTCTCATCCTGACTTCGCCCGTTCTCACTGGCCACATAAATATATGGGCCTCACTGGTCAAAGCCACTCAGCAGAGTCATTTCCTTGAGGCCGACCGAAATGGACACCTGCCAACACTCACCCCTCCATCTCGTAAAAACCCGTGAAAAAAATGCCCAGCGGAATCTACCACACACCTCCATCTGCTGCTACACTCGGTGGGGAAGGATCGATGAAACGATGGACAACGTTTCATCTTTGGCCTTCTGCGAAACCGATTTGATTGCATCCCAAGGACCAGCTCCCCAGGATTAGGAAATCTAGGCTTTATTTAACATGACAGAGCTGCCCTGAGGACCCCACCCAAGAATTATCATACCCATAATGCAACATTAATGCGGAGACTTATAATTCTTCCTTTACATAAAAGCTTCATTGTGTGCCATATCCAATCTCCGCGGGCTACCTGCACCACATATTTTTATGAGCCTACATTTCAGCGCTCCGAGCCTACAATACACATAATTTTCAATTATGTTAGGGCAGCCCAGGATCACTGCCTATATAACATTACTGGTTGGAGGAAATGAGACTCGCCCCGCTGCCCAGAGAGAGCTAACCAAATCCAGATGGCAAAGGAAGACGGCCCTAGTCCCGACGACGTGCAGGGACGCCCCAGTGACAGCCCCAACCTCTGGGGCCCAATGCAACTTGATCCCACAGAACGGCTGGATCCCCGCAAACCCACGCCCGTCCCCTTGGATCTTAACTGGCATTCGGGCTGACGAGGTTCCTTGTGGGGAAGTGAGTATTATGTCGGGATTTTTTAAAGGAAGTTATTAACCTCCTCCAAAAGTGATGGATTTCCCAGGTCTCTTCATCTTCCACAATTGGTCCTTATTAATAGAGAAAATAAATAAATAAAGGGAAGAAAAAGGAAATTGGGTACTATTAGAGCCTCGAGGAAAATCTTTTCCTTCCTGGAGACATTAAGCAGCAGGAAATTCTATTTACTCTGCTGGGTCCTAAAGGAAGACCTGGAAGAAAGGAGCATCTGGGACTCGAGAACCGGCTGGAAAGCCACGCCGCGTTTTCCCAACGGTTCCACTTTGGTTTTATATCCTTTGGGGGGAAGAAAAAAAAAAGTTCCCACCGTCCCACTATAAAAACAACACTGGGCTCCAGCTCTCTTCCTTTTAGGCTGCTCAACATGGAAATTATGAATTGCCTATAAAAACATTAAACTTTTCAACAAACTGCAATCAAATGGGGCTGTGGGAATTCCTGCATTGAAAACTGTTGAAATGGAGTCTGCTTGACTTTCATTTTGAGGAGAAGAAAAAAAAAAATAGCCATCGCAGCTTAAGCATTTCATCCTTTGTTTAACAATAATGTTCTGCTCACGGCCCATTAGAGTTTTTCCCAAAATCGTATTTTATGATACGTCTTGGGGAGCTTAAGTTAAGCTTTTGGACCTGGGGACAAAGTCTCAAAATACACACAATACCATTGGCCTAAAAGCCTGTTAAATTGTCAACAAAAAGAGAAAGGCACACATCTCGCATGTCTCCTCCTCCAACTCCAATTTAAAAAGAAAAGGAATAGGAAAGGCACAAGGGGATGGATCTCCCAAATCAGAAGGCATCTCCGAGATCAGGTTCAAGTGGGCCTGGGAGAACCTGCTCTCATGGAGCACCTCCATCTGTGTGGATCCGGATTGGGTAGCAAGGGCAGCGAGAAGGGGCTGATCAGAGAACCCGCCATGGGAGGGCTACTGAGGTCTTGGTACAAACTTATTTTCCAAACAAACAGGACAATTCAAAGGACAGCGATGATGATAATGACGCGGACTGCCAGGAAACTCCACATCCTTGATAAACTCCAAAGCGGCTTCCCGGCACTGCCTGCCACTCGCTCCATTCCACAGATGGACGGGCCGTGGAGCCTGCCCTTTGTTTGTTCAGGGCAGGGTTGGCAAACTTTCTCTGTGAAGGGCCACCCAGTAAATAGCTCAGGCTTTGCAACCCATTCCATTTCTCTCCTAACTACTCAACTCAGCCATGGACCATACACGTATGCACACCTGTATTACGTCATGGCTGTGTGCCAATAAAACTTCATTTACAGACACTGAAATATGGATTTCATATGATTTTCTCGTGTCAGGAGATAGTAGTCTTCTGTTTATTTTTTCCAATCGTTTAAAAATAATCAGAATCATTCTCAGCTCACAGGCCACACAAAAGCAGGTGTGGGCCGTGGTCTGCCACCCCTGGCTTAGGGAAGGTTCGCGTAAAGACCTGAAGACCATGTCAGACAGGATATATCCCCTCATGGGTCCTTAAATCCAAGCAGCCGAACACAATCACTTGGGAAACCAGTTTGGTGGTCCAAAAGCAATACTTTGGTTTGACTTGTCACTGGCAAGACTCCAGCTTCAGAGGGAAAGCTCGGGAAAGAATCCGAGCTCTGGTCGTGACTCCCAGTCACCGGGTCGGGTCTGACCACCAGACCACAATCTCACCGAAATAACTCTCTCTCCCTTCGAAACGGAAGTTCGAAACCCTTCAGCAATTCTGACTGGAAAAGGTTCTCACCCACTTCCCAGGCAGCACTGGTAGAGTATCA